TTCCGAAAAAATAGGTCTACTGAGATGGCAATTAGAAAGGTCATTTATTTTGTTCTAGACTCTTTGGACGAGTCACAGAAATGCGCGAGTATTTTTTGTGACTTATCCAAAGCGTTTGATTGTCTTCGCCATAATAACCTTATTTGTAAACTTACATATTATGGTTTCCAGGATGTAGAATTAAATATGATGAAATCTTATTTATCAAAAAGAAAGCAAGTTGTTGTAGTAAATGGTGTATCTTCAGATTTAAAAGACATTGATATAGGGGTGCCACAAGGCTCGATTTTAGGGCCAGTGCTATTTTTAATATATATAAATGACTTAGTAAACTCGGTCCCTGAGTGGGCATTCACCAGCTTATTTGCTGATGATACTCATCTCGGAATAAAGGACAAGTCGCAAAATAAACTCGAGCAAAAAATTGAGATAGCTGTGGATATTTTGAAGGAATGGTTTCAGGCTAATGGCATATTACTGAATGCTAATAAAAGTACAATAATGCATTATCAGGTTAGAAAACGGCTATCTGAGAACGTACTTGTTACAAATAATACTTTTCTAGGTTATACCTTAGACCATACTATGAGCCACTCTTATCATATAAACAAGCTATGCAAAAAACTAGCCAGTGCAAACTACGCACTACAAAAACTGAAGCCCGTAACCAATAAAAAAACATTAATGACAGTGTATTATGCTTATGTGCACTCCCTATTAAGTTATGCGGTGACAGTCTGGGGAAATGCTTCTGATATAAATCGTGTACTAAAATGCCAAAAAAGGTCATTACGAATTATAAATGGTTTGCGCAAGCGTACGTCAGCCAAACCTTATTTTAAACAAAATAAAATAATGACAATTATTTCTTTATACATTTATAAATGTTTAATAGAAATACACCATGATCGGGATTCACATTTGAGAAAGATGGACATCCATAGCTATAACTTACGTAATAAGGAACGATTGTGTTTGCCTAAAACAAGATTGGCAAAGGTACAAAAACAAGGCATATATAATAAAATTATAATGTATAATAAACTTCCCCTCAGTATCAAAAACATGAATGACGACGAATTCGAAAGAACAATTAATTTTTTTTTTATTCAGCATCCCTTATACTCTTTAAATGAATTTATGTCTATGCGTTTGGATGAATATTCATTCCTACATAAAGATGGGTGAGATACGAAATTGACTAGATCTCTATGGTAGATGACAAGATATAATAATCATCAATATTTTATGACATAAAATTATATATAATCTATGTTTGTATAATCTAATTTGTGATGTTGTAATTTAATTGTAATTGACTGTGATATAATTGATTATTAAGGATCGGAAAAATAACCATTTTGACATTGTTAAGATACTTAATTTATTTGACATTCCTACTTACAATGATTTGACCTGCATGATTTAAACCTTTATTTTGAATTTAATATGCTTATTGTAAAAGACTTGCCGTGTGTAACCTTCTGAGTTATATGGCCAATAAATTATTTGATTTGATTTGATTTGATTTGTCGGCTTCACTTTTCTGTTAGGCAAAACTCCGTCTATACTTTTTATTTGGTCTGAGAACTTAGTACTTTTTTTCTATATCGAAACATGTGATACTCTCTGCTTTTGCGACATACAACATTGTTTGCTATTCTTAGCCGCACTAGCTCATGTGGGCTGGGTGATTCTTAAAAAGTGAGGATAAAACCTGTCTAATCCCAATACTTCTTCCTAATCAAATCATAATTAACAGCAACAAGTTTTTAGATATTTTGAAATACTAGCACAACTATTTACACACTAAAGAAAAATACTAAAGATAGTTCCATTAGAAATTTAAGTCAAAATGTGCCTCAGACGTCATTATCTCGTATGTATGTCCCATGTGGCTGCGCGTGGATGTTATGTCTGATAAAAAAATCATTCAAACCTGAACATCTTATTTCTATATGCCAATTCGTCCTCAAATGTTCAAACTTTCTAATCATCGTAAATTACATACATTTGTTTTATTTTAATATAGGAAACGAACCCACTTTAAAATTGTCATTAAAAAAATCATTAAATTCAGGAAGGATGGTTTCGTAAATTTTCGGTGAATTTTCAAATTCACGTTGAATCAAAGCCCGCGATACTTTCCCCGCACCTCTCTCAGACGAGCTGCGAGCTTTGAACGGAGTGGACGTGACGTGTTTGTCGACGAGGTAAGTTTACATTTCGTTCTTACAAATTTGTCATGAAAAAAGTCATTATACTTTTGCTCTCTGATGTAGCAGATGATTATCACGTTAATCAACTTGTTTGCTGCTATTACGTATCGAATGTGAAATTATTCATATCAATGTGGTTTAAAGCAGAATTTATTTAGTTTCAACAGGTTTTAGCCAATTTTCTGGGATTCGTCATTTTCGCCAATATCATTTGCTTCAAAATGTGTGTTACGTATAATGATAAATAGGGAATATATTGATTTGTTCCGTTTCTAATAATGACAGTTATTGAGGATAATGATTTTTTGATGATGACCCCATTTTTCATGAATTAAAAGAGATTCACTTCATTTTAGTTACATATTGTTCAAGATATTTATATTTAAGTAAGTATGTTAATAAAGCTAAGTCCCTATTTGAGACGTTACGATTTTTAGACTTATGGTTTTGTGTACTTCTTTTTCTTCATGTAGTTTTTATTACATTTTAAATGTATTTTTTTTAAGCCATGAGATTTTCTTTAAAGGCGTCTTTCAAAATGCCACCAATAAACAAAAAAGCTACAGAAGAACATCGTCGAGCACAACAACGACTGTGTAAAAAGAGAAAATACTTAGAAATAAAAAATAATCCCGAGTTATTAACAACTGAACAAGAGAAAAGGCGTAATAAGTATAAGAAAGAAAGGAAGAAGGTAAAATCAAATCTATAAAGGAACGCACTCCACGAGCTCAACGTGAGCAAAGAAAGAAATGGAAGAAAAATTCCAAAAAGTACGTACTAAGTGTTATCTATCTGTCTATCTATCTAAATGTTTTCTTAGTCATATTTGAAATTCTCTATTTCCATGGATAATAGCGTTTTATGTCTACAATAGGTACAGACAAATGAAAAACAAGAAGAAACGACGGCGATGCCTCCATTTGAACCAGTTTTAATAGAAGCTGCAGAAGAAGATAAAACCGATGGTGTTAAGATAGAGGGACAGATCAAGACAGAGAGACAACATGATCCATTGCATCAAATGTCTCCTGCTATCAAGGCGGTGGTAAGAAGAATACGCTATAATGAATATAAGAAGACGTAGATGTTGCTAAATTCTATTAACAAATATAAAAAGACAATTGAAGCCGAAAGAAAAAATATACAAAGATTAAAAAGAAAACTTGAGGTGATATCAAATGAGAACGAACACAGTCAATCAAACATTGCCAAATTAGTAAGACAAACTGCAACTAAATTATCATCTTCATGCATAAAATTATCAGGCCACAAATCATACATAGAAAAAGTTCACCAATTTTATAACGAGAATGGTAATAGTTATTTAAGTGCTGGTAAAAAGGAGTTTGTGACGAAAAATAAAGGAAAGATGCAGTAACGGTATCTGAATGCTCCACTAAAGATTCTTTATCAAAAATTTATATCTCAAGTTGGTATTAGAATAAGTTACTCAACCTTTTGTAAGCTACGACCCTTTTGGACTGTTTTTCCAAAGCCTACCAATAGGAATACTTGTCTCTGTTCACGACATCTTAACATGGAGTTATTTATACAAAGTTTGCATAGGGCTTGCGTAGTAAATATAAGAACTTGTGAGGCATTACTATCAAAACTGTGTTGTGACTCGCGGAATTTAGACTGTATGAGTAAAACTTGTAATACTTGTTCCTTAAATCGTCTTGAATATTTAAATCTTTCCGATAATAATATATCATATTACGAATGGCGAAAAACAGTCAAAGAAATTACTCTTAAAAATGGAACTAAGAAAAAACAACAGCTAACTGAAAAAATAAGGACTACAATTAGTGCTACAGCAGCCGTAACTAAAATTGAAACAGTATTAAAAAAACAGTTAATTTGATATAAAAATTTAAGAGTGAGTTACACCAAAACATTTGACTGGTTATATTTACCATTTTTTACAAGAAATGTTCATTATTACCTAAAATTACCTTTGTGGTACTATATATTATATAGTTTTTACCTTTGTCATGGCAAAGACAACCGTCTTTGCCATGACACGCATTCTACAAATTATTGGTTAAAGCTAATATTGTGCAGGTGCAATTTAGACATTATAATGACTAAAATAATTTAATTTTTAAATTAATAATATATAAACAAAAGCGTCTAAAATTATAAAAAATGTTATATAATCTGGGATGTTATGATTAAACTGTTTTGTTGATTTCTAGTAAAATTGTTTTATTTCATAAAAATTATAAAAACAACACAAAATCGTTATTTATATTAGTCGTAAATTTTCGTCTTCCTTAAATCATTAACTTCCACACGTTGTCATTATCCTTAACAGTGTTTTTTTTTTAAATTTGATTTATCTTCGAAACTATTACCCTCACAATGGCGCCTCTTTCATCAATTTCAACTACATTCATCCAGAAATGATTTTGGCAAAAAATTATTGTTGTGCCACAAGATTTAATTTTTTCCAACAAACTCGACAAAAATATATTCCGATCTAAGATTCACCCAGCGGCTAAGAATAGCATGCCTAGATTATCAAATTTCATAGGATTATAAAAGCATTAAACAATACACAAAACATGACACGAATAGTATAAATAACTGCTCGAACTTTCTCCGGACTCCCGATAAGAAGGTTTATAATTTATATTTGTAATAATATACTTAATCAGAATATCAAACACAGGTGTCGTCGCGTTCACGTTTTGATTGCGATTTGCGCATGGAATGTGACAATTTGTTTTTAGTTCTTCCCAATTCCTAGTTCACTCATTCGTTAATTCAGCGGTTAGTTGGAAGTCAGTCGCCGGCGTAATTGGTCTTGTGTTGGTTGGTGCTGTCGAAACCATTCGTGCATAACAATATTTTATTAATAATATACTACTTACCTATTATTTTAATATTGTTATAATATTAAAAATCATTTGAAGTATTTTTAATTTGAGTGATCAAAATGAGTGAATCATCCTTAGGTATGTATGAAGATTCATTTTTATAAAATTCTACAACCAGTGATGTATAAGTTTGCATAAGTAAGTTAAGGTCGGTTTCTGAATTGAGACAAGTACAAAATCTCAACTGATTATTCTCAATAACTTTGGTATTTTACTTTTCACAAGGCAAAAAGTCCTAATTTTTTCAGATTATCAAAGAAACTAAAATCCGAAACGAAAACCTGTTTAAGAGCCCTATTACAAATTTGCACTGTGAAATTAGGTATTTTGAAGCGTCCCGACTTCTCGTCAAATTGTTCAAGGTCACGAGTCCACAATACTGTGTTGAAAATATGACCAAGCTATTTTGATACTTTTCCCAATTTTTGCATCGCCGAAAATGGCCCCAACACCATTAAATATTAATACTTCAATAATAATTACTAACTTATTTATTAAATTGGAATCAAATATTTATTTGACACGGACAAGCTGCGACCCAAAATTAATATTTAAAAGTACTTTAACAGTAACATTTTTATTCGCAAATATTCACATTCAATATACTTAAATTCTATTGAGTCAGATGGATGTAATTTACACGTCAGATCAAGAAGATCATTTATTTTTATTAGATAACCTTTAAATCATCGAACACAAAAACATTAAATTAAATTGACCGAAAATAAACTTAAATTTACTAAAAGCGCCATCTCTTGGTGATTTTCCAACTAAAACATAAGGACATAAAAACTGAATATTATACAAACTAAATTCATTAACTGTTGATAATTCACTCTTGTTTATTCAGAAAGATTGATATTCATACGACATATCCTAAAAACTACTTTGTTTCTATTACATTACCTTTATATTTCTCGTAAACATATTAACATCATGTCATTTATGTATTTAAGGCGCCATCTTTTGATGTAAACCATCAAAAAGCTATAGGTTTTTTAATTTTAAGCTTATCAATAGGTATATTATTTAGGTAACTATTAGAATGATTTATTTGACTATTGATTGACTTAGAAACTTTTACAAATCACAACGAAAAACCCGCTTTCTTAAAGTTGAGTTTTTTTGCTTCGACAATATAGACATCAATATCATATCATGTACTTAGAGTGCCATCTCTTGGTGGTTTTCCAAACAAATTATCACCTCAAAATGAATTATATTTTGCGTGATAATAAGTTCTAAAACTCGGTCGCGGTATAATAAATACATAATGAGAATTAGTTAGTGACACACAATAAAATAAGTATTTTCCTATATTTTTTTGGCTCTGGGGCCACCAATATTGCACTCAACGTCAAATTTCACATCAAGTCACGTTCAATATAATTTTTCATTTCCACAGGGATCAGTCAACTCATACCTCTGGATACAGTTAGTGTACGGCAGAAGACGACTGTGTTCTCAGGCAACGAATACGTGGTGGTTGATTTCAACGGGCAGCAGCTGTTCCATGCCAAGGAGTCTGGTGGCGCACTCAATTTGCTCGGTGGCAAAAATAGAGCATTTGACATCACCATCACAGATATGCAGGATAATAAGGTACTGTTATAGATACCTCGGGCCCTGTGACAGCATAGAGATTCCATGTAATAACACCTTAGTAATTAACTTTTGAAGTAGGTTTTATTGGATTGAACTTCTGTGGCGACATAGAACCACTGCGCTTATATTGCCACAATAATCGATGGCAAGACTGAAGCTTGTAACGGCGTGCTGTACCCACCGTTTATTTGCAAACCTTTTGTAATTTGAAATTTCGACTAATCCTATATGCTCTTTATGAATGTCAGTACGTAAAATTCATCTTTTGTGAACATGTTATTGTAAATCGTATAAATTTAAATATAAAATATTATAATAATGAAGTGATTATTATTAAAATAGAAATTATATATTATTTAAAATAAAATTATATCTTTAAATATCATCCAAGTTTACGTATCACGGCAAACCCAAAAAGAGTTTTTTTCTTTACCCTTTACATGTTTATCATAAAATAAATCAATTCTCAAGCTTAGTCAACCTGTCATTAATTCGCCCAAGCATCAAACTCGTCACAAGCTTATATTCAAATTGAACAGTCACGAGATAGTGCTATGATATCTACATCGTGCTTCTTAAGATTCGCCGTGCCTTAAGCCGTTGGTCCAATCTGCATTTGCAGTAGTTAATATACCCCAATATTCTGTCTGCCATATTGGGCCATCGCAGAGGGTCATGGCACATCCTCCTTAACCATCCATGAGGAAGACCTGAACACCTTAAGTAGGGACGTAAAGGGGCTGATGAAAAAAATTAAACCGGCTTCAAAAATGCTTCTTAAAAATTAACCACACAATAAATAGATTTACGAGCAGAACTGATAGACTGATGGAATAGACAGGGGACTGGTGGGTGTCAAAGTCTGAAAGAAGTCGGTTTCACGTGCCTTCTGAAGCATGGATGAGGTCGAGACAACAAATTAAATTTTTGGGCATCCTTCCTGTAGCCGGCCTGAACCTGTTAACTACTGCGCCGTCAAGCTCCTCGGGTGACCTTCACTTGTCATTGACCCGGCTGTCAATTAATTTTGTCCGTGCAAAGTATCCTTTCCATTCTCGTATAGTGCACATCACTCTTAGCCCATTCGTAGTTTGGCGTCTTGTATCACTATTATCTAGTCACACAACACAGTAAACGTATTAGCCTTTCTACTAAGCGCGCAAACACTTTAATTTTGCTAGACTATTTTTGAAAGCCATAAGTTTTTATGTTTTTCTTAAAGAGTTGATAGCTCAGAAAGTGAGCTTTTATATTGTGATATCTTTGTGGAAGATTAAAATTCCTGTCTTTATAATTCCTCTTAAAAAAATCCGGTGGAAAATGGGGTTAACTTTTTAAATATATAAAAAAAATATGTATCTTTGTAGATATATGAGTTTGTTTTTCTGTCAGTTTTCTCTTTCAAAATAAATGAAATAATAAAAAAAAGATAAATCTGAGAATATAATCATTTTTTTTTATTAATCAACAATAGTTCTTATAGTTGAACGCTGATAAGCTATTATCTATTAGATTCTCTTTTGCGTTAGATTTAAATAGTATACTCAGTTCTTGTTAACGTGGGCGGTCGCAGACTACTCAGTCTGATTGCAAATCGTTACCGACTGATTGATGGCCCTATCATTTTAAACGGATGAAGATAGAAAAATAAGCAATTAACATTTGAAAATAAACCTTACAATAATTTACAGCCGTCTATAGAACATAAAATATGTTTATTTATCTGTTATATTCTTAGCAAAACGCAAAGAAAACCTCGATTATCTATCGGTTATTTTAAAATACACAATCCGTTGCAGTTCTTGGTGAATACTTTAGAAAAACGTATTATACGCATGTATTTGGCGTTTTTGTTTTGATAATATCTAGAGTAAGTGCTCCAATGAATGTACTGAGACGATTTAATCATAAAATAATAGGATAGTGTTTTTTTATTGCATTGTCATAACATTATAACCTACTTATAATGCTGAATTTAAAACATCGTTCAATGATAATAAATAATAAGCATATATAATAACAAAATAAAAGTTGCTTTCGGAGATTTTGATGTATTTTGATAATATCATAAAAGTAACAAGTGCTTGAAAGATTCGTCAGTCCTGTTAGATCCTGGGTAGCTCTAACGTTAGAGCAGCCGCCAGGATTGCAAAAGGTCATGAGTTCGAATTCCATCTTTTATAAGCATTTTTCATAAAGAATATTTTTCAGTATACCATTGTAAATGCGAAATTGATCGAATATAATAATATCTTACATACTTCATTACCTTACCTTACATTTAGCAGGAGAACTTAAAATCATATGAACAAAGTACATATGAAAAATATATTTACGTGTTGTTGTAAGACTGACCGGTTAGACCCCGGCGGGTCTAATTATGAAATCTACCGCAATCCCTCTCAGTTTGCATTTGAAAGATATTCATGAACTTCACGTTACTTTGAAAACAATTCAGTACAGTACAATAATACTAACATTGACGACTTACATGAGATAACGACAGCTTTCAATGAATTTTTTATTAATATTGGTGATGATAATTTGACATGTAAAAATAATTGTAGTAAGAAAACAACTAATCATTTGACTGTCAGAAATAATATTTATCTCACCCCAACTTCGGAGGAAGAAGTAGGTCGTACTATACGAAGTCTAAAAAATACAAATTCTGTAGGTTATGACGACCTTAACACTGACACTTTAAAATTATGTTGTAAGAGCATTGAAATTCCCTTGGCTCATATTATTAATTTATCTTTGCAAAATGGTATATTTCCTGAAAGGCTTAAATACTCGGTAGTTAAACCACTATTTAAAAAGGGAGATGAGAGTGATATGAATAATTATAGACCTATCGCTCTTATTCCCGTATTAGCAAAAATATTTGAAAGAATAATGGCCAAAAGAATTTTATCCTTTATTAAACAGAATAAAGTTATAGCAAATGAGCAGTTTGGTTTTCAGGAAGGAAAATCAACCACACTGGCTTGTTTTAATCTTGTCAAAAAGGTAACTAAAGGTATAAATGATAAAATACCTAATTTAGCAGTGTTTTTAGATATGTCAAAAGCCTTTGATCGGGTTAATCATGGCATATTATTGAAAAAGGTTTTTGAATGTGGCTTAAGAGGAAAAGCAGCCGACTGGCTTACCAGCTACTTACGAGATCGCAAACAATGCACAGAGATCACAAGGTTAGAGAACAATATTAAAACAAAAGTGAGATCAGACTACAATGACTTAAAAAATGGAGTACCACAAGGGAGTGTATTAGGACCTCTACTATTTTTATTATATATAAATGACCTACCTAATGTGACTAAAAACGAATGCTTTCTCTTTGCTGATGATTGTACTCTATTTTTTCAAAATCAAGACATTGACATATTGCAGTCTGACATTAACAATACAATATCTGACATAATTTACAAATTAATATAAAAAAGACGAAAGCAATACAATTTCATACATATAAAAGTAAAAAAAATATATTAATTTAGAATATAATAATGATAAAATTGACATAGTGGACTCCACTACCTTTCTTGGAATTGTACTAGACGAAAATTGTAATTGGAAAAATCATATTGATGGCGTTTGTAAAAAAATAAATAAATTTGTATTTGCGCTTGGTAGAATCAAGAGAATCGCATCTTTTAATATAGCTCTACAGTCATACCACGGCTATGTTGCAGCAGTTTTGCGCTATGGCTTGATAATATGGGGGAATAGTGTTGACGTAGAAAGAGCATTTAGAGCCCAAAAAAAGTGCATCAGAGCACTGTGTGGAATAAAAAGCTGGGAATCATGTAGGCCTTTATTTAGACAACATAAAATACTTACATTACCATGCATGTATATAACAGAGATGTGTCTCTTTGTAAAACATTACCCTGAATATTTTGTCACACACGAACAAAGAAATGAAGGCGCTCGGGATTCCAGAAAAAATAAATTATGTATACCAAAAATTAATTTAACCCTCTTTAGTGAAAATGTGTACTGTATGGCTATTAAAGTGTATAATAAGCTGCCACAAAATATTAGGAAACTTCCATATGAAAAAAATATATTTAAAAACTCATTATGCCATTGGCTTGAAGAACGAGGATACTATTCTATTAATGAATACTTGAATGACAAATAACTGCAATAAAAAATTATTAATATCTCTGACATTCTATTATTGTATATTTTTTTTATCTTATAAAACTGACATTAAACATTATAATATTGATTATTATGTAAATGACCTATTCTGGTGTTCTTTGATTTATTTTGACAAATTTGTGTATGTTGATTGTATATGACATTGTAGAGTTTTATATTGTATTTGGATAATATCGCGGACATTGTAATCAAACTTAAATTATATGATATTTTAAAAATTTTATGACATTAGAAATATAATATTTGCACGCCTACTATAAAAGGCAAAATTTTGTTGAGCATGAAACCTATGTAACAACTGTACTGACACAATATTTGAGCAAATAAATAAAATGGACGGGCTTAGTTAAGTTTTAATATGATTCTCGATTATTGAAATCATTATTAGTTCAAACATAACACAATTTCATAAATCATTATTACGATTTGACTTTATTAGATAATTAGAAAAAAGGGATGATGACTAATTGATAGATCATTAAAAATATTTAAGCACTTTTTTTATTTTTTGCGTAATCAATTAATAACGTTGAAATATCGCATGACGTCACACCTTTTTACATATTCCCATAGTTGTGATGAAGCGAGCCTCTATTTCTCAACTTTAATGCCTATTATCTTAGCCATTTCTTGTTAAATTGAAGCAATAATAATTAAAAAAAAAAAGTATATAATACGTTTCTATTAGATAATAGATATTAGATAAAAAGAAATTCTATGAAGTGATCAGATGATCACTTCATAGAATTTCTTTTTGATACCCAGGCACTGCTCTTACACATGTAAAAACGGCAACAAATCTCGCTAAAATTATTATTCTATACGTGCCTCCATGGAGATGCTCAGGAGTTAGACGTAAGTGCCAACCACCGAGGCTACCACGGTTCTCAATTTTATTGTATCTATACATAGAATAAAACAAAGTAGCTTTCCGCTCCACTGTCTGTACGCTGATACCTTTTGAAATACGCACCGGATTTCATTAATGTAGTGTTCATTAATACAGAGCGATTTAACAAAGTTCATATAATATAAATGATATTATGTTTAATACAAGACCTCGCGGATGTAGCCGCTGACGGAAAGCTACTTACTACCTGATACATAATGTATTATGACAAGTAATATATATGTATTATTATTTGTTGGTATACTTTTGTAAGACGAAAAAGAAACACGTGAAAGCTTTTTGTCTAATAAACTAGTCTTATACATAATCTCATACATAAGGATCGTACCCCATTAAGGGGACAGACAAATTTCGCTTGTGTTGCTAGACGTCCCGTATTTCATGCATAAAGTCAAATGTCCCGCCGGGACCGACTTAAACAAATGGTGTTAAAGTGGTGCGATGAACGAAAAAAAATCACCTTCAACTTAATAAAAACCAAATTAATTAGTAATTTAACTACGGTTTTAATAAATTTTTTATTATGTCACATCCAACAAAAAAAATGTTAAAAAATGCACATGACAAAATATTTCTCTGACAAAATAAATAAAGATAATAATTTGGTTTTATAAATCTCGAATAAAAATTGGAAATTCTTGCACATTTCAGCATTTGTCCTTTACAGGATGAAAAAAAATTTGGCAACCCTAATACATACAATAGAATTGGCCTTGTTAAGGAATTTCATATGGCGTCATTATTACTGTGGAAACTAAATTGGATGCTTCAGTGGTGTATCTATTACGATTGTGCGCAGCTCTCTTTGATTGAAATGTACATATATTCTAATAAAAACCGGACAAGTGCGAGTTGGACTCGAGCACGAAGGATTCCGTACGCTATTATAAATATCGAGCAAAATTAAGCCAAAAAAATCACGTTTGTTGTCTAGAGCTCCCCTTAAATATTTATTTACTTTTAATTTAAGTATTTGTTTTTTAACTTAATATATAAATACATATTCTGTAAATATTTCGAGCGTCTAACATTCGCTGTCCATGAGGTACAGCCTGGTGACAGACAGACAGATAGCGAAGTCTTAGTAATAGAGTTCCCGTTTTACTCTTTGGGCACGGAACACGGAAAAGATTTTTGCGTAGATTTGAAATTTTCGATTAAGTTTTGTGTGGACATTAGATGTGTGTTTTTCTTTCCATCTGTATTTCAAATTGGATAAAAATCTTTAAAGTTGATCCTGTGATCCGTGACAGTTAACCAGTTCTCTGGGCTTTATACAGTCGTACTGTAGAAGGACGTTGTGATGATTACTCAGCTGATCGACGTTTAGCCTTTAGATGAAAGGCGCTATTCTATTATAGGATTCACCACCTAATTGGACGGATCTTTTACCCAGTTGGCTACGACATATTCATTATTTATTAACAATTTTGAGTTGTGTGTTGACCAACAGCTGTTAGTTTAAAAGTCGACCAAGCAATTGTGATTTACATTGTTCTTACTGCCAGTTGCACAAACGATCATTAAAATTGTCATTAGTTTGAATTGGCATTACCGATACAAGTTCACAAAATTAAAATATACATTAGTGTTTATTAAAACTTAATAGTTTGTGCAACTTTGCTTAAGTCTATTTATTTTGGTAACTGTCTGGTAATCTCTTTTTATATGACGTAATGAGCGACAAGGAGAATCATTTAATTATTACATACTTTCGTATGTAATATTAAATCGATTCTCCTTTTTTGTATTTGTATATATATCAGTTACGCTCTCACACCTAACCCACTAAACAGAGTTGACTTAAGATGGGACATATGTTGTTTTTTATAATGATAAAAGTGTTGAAATAAGGAATTAAAGTTTGTACGGAAGTTCGATATTGTCAAAGATAAAATCGTGAAACTTTATTTCAGGTATTTTACACGATATAATGAATAAATATTCGTTTTATAAATGTTGCCCATAAGTAACTATACCACGCGCACGAAATCGCGGGCAAAAGCTAGTAATAATATAAAAGCAGATAATAATCATAGTTTAATGTAAACGCCTACGTTAGAAGGTGTTTACAATAATATTTGTTTGTAGGAGATAATCTTCGGAAATACTGATTCGATCATGAAAATTCTCTCACCTACTACAGCTACATCATACGCGGGTGATACAGGCTATAATATACGCGGATGATAAAGGTTATAATTTTAGCGGGTGATATGGCTTATAATTTACGCGGGTGATAAAGGTTATAATTTTAGCGGGTGATATGGCTTATAATATACGCGGATGATAAAGGTTATAATTTTAGCGGGTGATATGGCTTATAATATACGCGGATGATAAAGTTATAATTTTAGCGGGTGATATGGCTTATAATTTACGCGGGTGATAAAGGCTATAATTTACGCGGGAAAATAGCTATATATAATGGCATTCTTCGAATCGAAAGCGAATGTTACGCAATGGAAACTACGTCATATTTAAATAACGAAGTGGGTAGACGATTGTTTAACTATGTCATTATTCTAAGGTTTTAATACTGGATTTAATTGACACAATTATACTCGGGTCAGGGAGGAATTAAATTTTCACAAGCATCATAAATTTTTGTTAGTGCGGTGGGTGATACCGATCTGGGTGTTGAAAATGTAACATAAGTCACGCAAATATCGTGTTAGCCAATTACCTTGACCCTTACTAGATTGAAATAAGGTATAGTGTAAGTAAAATAAATGTTTTATGTATAGTTACTATGTTGTGGTTAATTTTAGCGTCAGTCTTATTGATCTAAGATACTTTGAGATATACTGAATGACTAAGCGATTTATTGTAGCATCTATTAGGCCACTCCTAATCCGTGGAGTGGCCACATGCGATAATTTATTTATATTAGGGATTCAGATCTCGATTTGATTTTATTGAAAATCGATATTGTTGACCTCGATCTTCGATTTTTTGAATCAAACTTTTGTCACCCAGATCGATCTCAAGATCGTCGTAAAACGAACACATGGAAAATCGATCTTTACTACTATTGTCAGTAAAGAATTAATCTTTAGTTTTTCCTCATTAACTTAGAAAACAACGGTGATCATAATATAAAATTATTATTATTATAAATTAATTATTAGTTAACAGTTTCCTTTGTGTAATAATTCGATATTACTCCAATAATTTAGATTAGATTTTTTTGTACGACATTATGAGTATAGATCGATTTTTGAAAGATCGATCTTTACGTCATCGATGTTTTTCCGAATCGATCTTAAAGGCACTCATCGGAAACCCTAATTTATACCACAAACTCTATTTAGTAGGTGTATTATCGATAATAGGTAGATTATTAATCAGTATAAAACATTGTATTTTTTTGCATATTCAATAAGTAACGACTATAAATTGAGTTGAAATGTCACATGACGTCACACCTTTGTATATTTTCTACGTATAATAGTGACGTAACGAGCCCCTCACTCCTTAACTCGAAGACCGAACGTGTTGACCACTGCGCCATAGAGCTCCGCAAAGATAACAAATTAGTTGGTTATTATATTTGATTAATTTTGCATTCATAATGCTATATTAAGAATAAATAAATTGGTTTTAAATAAATAAATATTAAACAACATCACATACATTGCTCAGATTCCAAGCTGAGTAGCTAAAGCCTTTGTACTATGGAGTATTTGAGACAACGAAAGTACCACAACACCCGGAACCGAGACAATATAGAAAAGTTAATTATTGACATTGACCCGACCGGGAATCGAGTCCGGAATCAAACCGGCGAACTAACCACTAACGGAGGTTGTAATAAAAATTGTTTTAATAAAACAAATGCATTTTATTAACGTCTATTCTAGTTGTTAATTGAAAGTTTTCACATAAAACGCCTGATAATGGACGACTACTAATATAAACGTTGTTGCTGTGTAAGTAGGACGTTAGTAAAAAATCACACACCCAAAAGAAATCGATCGGTTTCAAGTTAATGACAGCAATAAACCATTAAAGAAGGAGCTTAATCTTTGTACAAGTGTGTCAACATTGCGTTCTATTGTACTACTCTCTAAACCAGAGATTCTTAATTTAGCTTAAATTGGCACTAAAATGAACTAATATTTTGAAAAATCTATGGTCAGTTTTTTCTTATTAATATAAATTACTTATACATTATGGAGACTAAATTTTACATAATTTTCTTATCAAAATTTATTATAAAGTTCGATAAGTTTCAAGTCTAATTAATTATTTTGGATTCACTATGTAATATCACAACATAGTATAAAACAAAGTCACCTTCTCTGTTTCTATATTCCTATGTATGCTTAAATCTTTAAAACTACGCAACGGATTTTGATGCGGTTCGTTTTTAATAGATAGAGTGATTGAAGAGGATGATTCCCACTACTAAGGCTCAGGCTTTCGTGTGGATGGAATCGAATCAAATGGAATAGGGTGAATGAATCATGACCATAGTGGATCTAGTGCGGATTGGTGGGTATAAATGACTGCAGATGCAACCGGGACGAACGACTTAACATCGAGATTAACATCGACATCGAGGAGATCGAGATTATACATTTTTTGTCATCCATTCCTTGACCGATCATTGCTATAGTTGCTTAACAACCATACCGAAGATCAATCGCGTTAATCACTGAACCATTGAGCGTTATATAGCTGCCATCGAAATCAGTAAAATTTTGGAAGGTGTCTAGAAAGTAATCGAAACCATTTTATGTTATCTAGTAGGTGATTTATTATCCAAAGGAGTGTTAAAGACATTATATTATCTTTCTAAATAGATTATTTGTGTATTCCAGGTGATCACACTTCGTCGACCATACACCTTCGGGCCTGACAAGATGGAGGTGACGGTGTGCAATCAGCTGGCCAGCGTAGTGCGCCAGGAGGTCACGTTCATGAAACCGGTGCTGAACATCAACGATCCTCAAGACCGCCTCGTGTTAAGGGTCAAAGGACCAGCTGTAAGAACAGGAGAATGTGACTTTGAGGTGGGTGAAGCATTGATCTAGCTTGTCTACGGCGGAAATGATAGGCTTTTAAATAGAAACAGGCGTGGAAGTTCATTACTGTAACTGTGGAACTATGATATTTAGAAACTTAGACACTCAATAAGTATTATGGAGCGCAATAAAGAAATTGATTTGAATCAGTATCTGCAAGATATGCATTGCCTACCCACCCGCATACAAATGCATTTGCACAAGCGGCATGTGTATATTAGTCCCATATTCTCAAAAATCAAAAATTACTTTTTAAGGAGCTGGATGTATCAGTGGTTAGTGCGTTCCTTCTGCCATGTAAAAGTTATGCAACTTTCGCGAGGCCTGGTCATTTAATGGGTGATTAAAAATATACTATTTTAAGCTATTCCATTCTTCGGAAGATATCATCACTATCCCTTTTACGTCCCCACTCTTATTCTCTTATCATGTAACTCTGAGGACTCTCGTAATAAATTGTTCACAGAAGTGTGTGAGACCAGCGATCATACGAATAAGTGATTTGGACGTATTGGAATAGTTCATTTTTTACGGTCATTACGATTATAAGCTGTCGGTTGAGTTAGCGAATATGCCTGTTGGTCTTCCTTATGGATGGTTTAGGACCAAGGATTGGCCACGATCCTCCACGCTGGCCTAATGCCAATCGGAGGGTATTAACGATTGCAAATGCAGCCGGCACTGACGGCTTAACGTGCCTTCCGAAGCATGAAATGGCAAGAAATAATGATTTTTTGGTTATTAACGATCGTGGCCCGCGGCGCTTATCCGTTATGTCACCGAGTTACTAGGATAGACATAAGGTGTTACGTTAGTATATTATGTTCAGCGTTTATTTTGACGCACTATCATTTGTTTGCTCAATAGGATTTCAACAATACTCCGCAAATTTAAAATATTATGCAATTCGCTTCCAGATATTTACCCCTAGCAAGAAACGTGTAGGTGTGATTAGCAAGCTTTGGGGCGGATGTGCTCGGGAGGCGTTAACTAGCAAAGACAACTTCAGAATAAACTTCCCGACAGATTTGGACGTGCGCTACAAGGCTGCACTCATAGGAACGTGCTTCCTTATTGTGAGTACATATAATATTTTCGCTTTGCCTACTATAGCGTATATTATACCATGACTATTAAAAAAGGAAACATTTCAAGATCAATGAGTATTTCTAGTACTATTACGATATTTAGTAACAGTAGAATACTATATCAAAAGAAAATGTACTCCCTGTCTATTCTCGGTACGCTCATATAGAAATGCCCATCGTTTGCTTTGTCAGTTTCCCAATTATTTGGAGTCTGCGTGATATGTATTCTCTTTCCATACTTCTCGATCAGTCATCTTTTCGGCATTCACTCATTTCTTGTAAATATCACCTTTCTCACATTCTTATATTTCTCATAACGTTATTTGTAACATACCGAATTACCATCTCATTTCTTTTCATCACCTACATAATTTGTTGTTTCCCAATTGTTCTGGTACTGGCGCTACTTTCAACTTTCTCTAATGTGATGATAATTCTTCACCTTGTTTATTCTAAATGGATATTTAATATTTTCTTATTAAAATACTTAATAAATAAATAAATATATGAGATTCGGAAATACTCGCAAAGGAAACGGAGAACTGGTAGTAAGTATATTAGGCGTAAGTTTACCGTCAGATTCGGAATTATTCTGAGTAATCCTAGTTTTGCACGCGTAACACGATGGCTGGGGCTCGACTCGGTTATAGATCGTGAAACTCGGAGATATGTCGATATAAATGGCCATTTGATGATGATATAAGTAATATTTCACTCGCGATCTGAAAACATTTGGATTAAGAGAATGCATTTCTAGAGTTCATTATGTTATGCGTGCTGAGGAGGTGAGGAGTTCTTTGAAGTGGGCAAACCAAGTATGCAAAAACTATAAATGTTAACAAACAAAAAAAATAAGCATTCCATTATTAGCCGTAAATAAAGGGTGAAACTAAAAGAAATCGTGCTAACTTCAATGGCAACTTTTAAAATTTTCCTTTTTTTCATTTCAGGATTTCCTGTACTACGAGTGATAGTCATAGTGATTACGAAAAATTCTTTGCTTCCATTTTATATTGTTTTTGAAATATTTAATGTGTGAATATGACAAAGACAACAAAGAAATTAAATGAAGCGACTGCTTCATTTAATTTCTTTGTTGTCTTTATAAGTAAACGGATCCTAACTGAATAATTAGGATCCGTTTACTTATCAATTACTGCGAACTAACATAAAACTAAAAGGTGCAGAGAGCTAACAAAATTATAGTTGCTAGAGCTGTGGCTAGAGCCAACCCGGATGTATTGAACTTTTGTTGGATTTTAAGTTTTGGATTAAAAAGGAAATGGATCTAAAGGATCCGTTATTGCCAAGTGCAGATGATAATGAGGTAGACGATAGGTCGAAAGTGCTATTAATTCTATGTGTCGTGAAAACAATGGATCATACCACCGCTCACCAAAGATTTGGGGCTATGTTAATTGGTGCTGTTACTTCATATATTGCTCTTATTAAGAGCCTACATAAATGCTTTAAGAGTTTGAAAGTATTTCTTCAGGAGTACTATATATTCAAGAAGTTTTACCATATGATTAAAACATATTGTATAAATATAATGTATGTTACAAACCATATGTAACTCTTATTTCTGATAATAGTTTAAGAGCCCCTAACAAGAATCTGCAAAAATTTATAACGATTGATTCTTCAGAATGTGGAAGTGCTAGGGTATTCATCACTTAGAACTCAGTGCGTTGACAGTTGTTGGTCAAGTACTGTAACACCCGGTAAGATGACAACATGTATTAAAGTGCTTCGCAATATTGTGACATGTCTTCTCAATAAGTATAATACAATAAACTGTTTATACAGTACAATCGTGGAACACGCACTTCCAGCACGTCTTTGCATATGAAGCAAGTTGCGTAGAACGGTCTAAACGGCGCAGGGGAGCGACGGGCTTTGTAGGCCGTGGTCAGGAGAGTACTATCTGGGAGGCCCGAGCCGACTAAGTACTGGATACTGAGTGATGTTCGAAGAAAGGTTTCCAATGTACCCGAGCATGTTAGTCCGTCAATGAGTCAATTTTCCTACGGTTCAAGGGTTTATGGTTTCCTTGGTCCTGAAGGAGTGGGTATACCTTAGCGCAGGCATGTCAAACTTACGGCCCGCGATCGCAATATATCATAGATAAAAAACTGTTTTTTCATGTTTTAGACTTGACGGAAGTTTAAAATGGACACGCTTTATTTATAAGTAATTTCAAGAGTAGCGCGTGCTTAGATGAGCGAGAGAGTGTTAGTTATTTAACAAAACTACGCTCATTCTGACCTTTAATCTGATTTCTAACAACGGTGTAACTAAATACCCAAATAAAGATGTATTTATTATATATTTTTTAATTCGAACCTGATCCACCTACATATTTTGAATGTAATATACTCGTATAACCTATAAATTAGAGTTGGACGCTGTTATATGGGATTAGAAGAGAGTGTCATATACTGTCGGTCTTGAAATTGGAAATGCTTGAAGCACAAGTTAAGCATTTCGCCAACAAATAAATAAAAAAGGGGTACTGAGAGATACTGAGTATGACTCTTAGTACTTTCACATTCGGAAATATCAAAGTTATCAAACTCTAACTCTAAATTTAGCCAAGAACTAAATTTATAATGTCGACGGAAATATTTCTATTAACATTAAAATCCATAATAGTTTGTTGCTACAGTCTACATATTAATATACTATCTCAGTATAGGCTGTACCTATACTCTTATGTAAACAATTCCGTGAACCAAATCTTTTGGAAGTGCTTATCAGTATTTGGTATATTATTATAACGACTTTACCACCTTAAGCGAACGAGGCTAAAGCTAACATTTACATTTTTTTTTGTCAAAATTGTCAAAAAATAAAGTATCTAAGATTTAATATTTAAACTTTTTTTTTAAAATTTGTTTTAACTGATGTTTAACGCGCTTAAATGTATTTATAACAAACTAAAGAAGTGGCGTGCGCTGAAATTTTTAGATTGATTTTATTATGTATTTTATACTTTGTTTTTAAGTTTTTAATTGTATTATTTTAAAACGCAATAAATGTGTATAAGATTTATTAGAGTTTCTTAATTCAGTTAATTTATTAACGTTATCACAGTGGGTTTGTTAAGAAAACAAGCGAAGGAATCAGTCAATGAAGGCAAAAAACTGAGAAATTGAATAATAAATTTTGCCAAGCAGCATGAATTTGTAAAAATAATACGGATTAATGTTATACTTACCCTCTACTTTAAAATTGAAATTGACCATGTGTTCCAGGCCGCTATTTCTCTGAGGTAAGATTCAAATTATTCAAAACCGAAACAACTTACAATGTCATTAGATGTAATTTTAAAATCTCAATAATAAATAGAATTCGTCTTATAGTAGCTCGGTGGCGTAGTGGTTAAGCGCCGCGGCCCGCGATCGTTGTCGTTAAGCAACTTTCGTAGGGGTCGGTCACGGGATGGGTGACCAAAAAATTATTATCTCGAGCTACTCCGTGCTTCGGAAGGCACGTTAAGCCGTTGGTCCCGGCTGCATTTGCAGTCGTTAATACCCTCCAATCCGCATTGGGCCAGCATGGAGGGTCATGGCCCATCCTCCTTAACCATCCATAAGGAAGGCCTGAGCCCCTGCAGTGGGGACATAAAAAGGCTGATGATGATGATGATGATGTCTTATAGATCATTCGATCTATCGTGCAATAAGACGATAAATTTATAGTACTCGAGAAATATCAAAACTCGCCATTAGGTAGCTAGACATTACGAAAGTAAACTTATATAAATATGTATATGAGTAGATGCTGTCGTTGGGGGGCACAGTCGACTTTACAAGAATCTGAGAAAACATCTGGTTATAGAAATCCATTAGATTGCAGATGAAAAAATTACAAACTTTTTTAAATTTGCCGTTTTAAAGTTAGCGCTGGTCAAATCTTGTAAGCTAAAGACTCGTTTCCCAGTGCTCGATTAAGCCGCAATAGGGATGATGACTGTGTTAAAAAAAGAAATTCTATTTAGTCCGTCAATCAGATAATAGGAAAATATAAGATACGTATTTTTTTTGCTTCAATTTAACAAGAAATGGCTTAAGTAATAAGTATTAAAGTGGAAGAGTTGGGGTTCGCTACGTCACAGTTTTGTAGAAAATTTACAAAAGCGTGACGTCATACCCAGAAGCTGGTAGCTCAGTGGTTAGAGCAGTCGCCCGGATTCGGGAAGGTCGTGGGTTCGAGTACCATCTTAGAGTGCCAGGCACAAAGTGGGTTTTTTAATCGTTTTTCAATAAGAGTATTTTTCAGTATAACATTGCAAATGTAAAATTGATCAAATATAATAATTAGAACAAATTTTCATCTTTATTGAAAGTTTAAATATTTGTATAAAATATTTCTTCCAGCTGTTTAGGGGATTGTCTTAACATTGATGAAAAAACGCTTTTTAGTAGCGAGAAGTAACACGTGCTTGAAAAAATCGACAGACCTATTAGGTCCTGGATTGGTCAGTGGTTAGAGCAGTCGCCCCGATTGCAAAAGGTTATGGGTTTGAGTTCTATCTTAGAGTGCCAGGAACAAGCATTTTTCATAAAGAATATTATTTATTTTACTTATAAAGTTATAAAATTTTTAACTAATATTTAACACGAGTTTAGTTTATAGCAACAAAGATAAACTTATCTATGTGTCGATACCGTGACCCTGTCCTCTTAGATAAGAGTAATGTTACGGTAAGGCAACTAGTTCTAGGTATTTTATATGAAATATACAGATTCTCTTATACATAAGTCGTGTTTATTTATCTCGTGGTTATTCCTATTCTTCGAGGTTGAGATATCTGACCGTTTTTGTGTTTAATCTCAAACTCGGTGCACTGGACCAATTTTCTAATAGAATCTTTGACTTCTTTCGCCACGCAAAAGCAAGAGAAACGACCCTCGTAATGCTACTGGTCACTAACAAGTTACAGAGAAAAGATCTAGGGGCCGAAGCTTACTATGTTAGTTTATCCAGTCTACGACAGCTTTGAGTACTGTCTGTACGATAGTTGTTACTCACTGTTGACAGGCAAAATATGGTTGGGTGTTATCATGGAAGATGACTACTCAACTACTCTTATCATGGAAGACAGTAATACTCACGATTTTCATTTAAATGAAATTCCACTCACAGTTAATAAAACATGTAGTTAGCGATGATTAGCGACGACGAAGATTGTATTTCAAGTCGGACAATCGTCAAAATCTGTTCATCCGTCAAATCAATTAATGACACTTACAGATAAATCTATGTATTGTATTACAGGTCTTGATAATTTTCCATAAAAAGCCGCCACCTTTATACAGTAAATGATAGTGATTGAAAGGTTCGTTACTGCTTGTACTATTTATTTATTTATCATAGTCTGTACATCCAATCTTAATATTTTTTCAAATATCTTCATCATTGTCTATTATAATCAGATTACATTCATATGTAACACTTAAAAGGTTTCTCTTGATAAGCCCAATCTCTTACTCATGAGGGATTGAATTTTAATAATTCCATTTTCCCTATATCTGTTTGCTTACAGAGTAATTGTAATAGAACAAGTACATTTTCTCCATAATTTATATAGGTAAATAATTGTTATCGTTACAGGCAAAGTTTGTTTTCGTATTTATTAGCGAAATGTCCCGCGTTATCGCGAATCAGAAAATACACTGTATCGATTAGTGTCTATTTAAAATTAATTGTCATGAGTCTCTCATTATTTGGGTTTCTGAATCCGGCAGGGGAGGGTGTGTTAGAAGTTGCGATTCTCTTGTGCGTGACACTTGTGTTTAATATTAATCGTGATCACGGTTTTTTAATTCATTATAACCGTTTAAAATTTCACACAATTAAAATATAATCACCATTGCCGTGTTCTGATTAGGTGAATATAATCTAGTAGAAAGAACAATGGCAAAGGAAGATGTTATTATGTCTGAATCTACATCCCTTTACAAACATCTTCTCGATGAAGTGAAAGCATCGGCCCAAGAACCGCAAAGTGCCAAAATAACCCATGATAGTGGTGATATGTATTTTGCACCACCGTCTTTGATGAGATCAAAGATGGATATTGAGTTACAGATAGCTGGATTACGAAGACACCAGTTGCTTATGGATAAAAAAATCGTAGAAGAGGTATTCAGAGCCAAAGAAAATGCTTTGGAAGCAGAGACGAAGTTGGCTTTGACAATGCTCGAGGCATATCCAACTCCTGGATCGCCTCTTACTGATTCAGTTGGTGTAAATACGAATGCTATTAATGTGTTTTCAAACGCTAGTGCACCACCAGCAACATCATTTGAACAGGATCCAGTAAAATTTAATACATCTGCACAAAATGAAATAAGTTCCCCGTCTCGTTCGGATTCTGCTATTGGTAAGTCGAGGGTCGTAAAATCAATTTCAAATTTCCACACTTTGTGTCTTTAATGTTAAAAGACCGATGGAAAGTTTTGATTATTCTAATTGTCGGTTGCGTAATATATATAGTTTTAACCGTAATGTAAAATTTAAGAAACATGTTGTTAATTATAAGAGCAATCTTTTATTGTTAGCGTTATTAAATTATGATTATGATTAAAATGACAATTATTTTAATAGGTACACCAGGTCTTTCTGCATTATCATCTTTAGATAGAGTGAAAGTAAGACTCGTGTCTAGTCCGGGATTAAACGAAACTTATGAGGTCCTGGGTTCTGACGAAAGCGTGATTTTTCACGTCAAAATTTCACTCAAACACCCTAAAGGTGACAAAAATCTATCATTCGAAGGTGAAATATTAGACAAACATCATGAAGAGGTAACATCATGTAGAGATACGATTAACTATTCAAATTAAAAAAATCTACTTACTTATCTGGATATTGATACTTATTTCGTTGTTCAGGTGGTGAAATTTCATTTAAATGAAAATCGTGAGTTGGTAGTGACGGCACGCAATGAGAAAGTTTGCTCGATCAAACGTCAGCCTACTCTTATTAAGCCTGTGCTGACTGTCAATGATAATGATAACAAGGTACTTTTCAAAGTCAAAGGGCAAGGTCTCCGTAGCAATATACCCATATTCCCAGTGAGTATCATAGAATATTATATGTAATGTCGTAACCAACTGGTAAATAAAACTGTTCATTTGTATTTCATGCGATTATTCATTACATTTGATCTTGTATTATTGAAACTCATTTCAGATCACAAATCTGGAGAAGGTGCCTATCGGCGGAATTAACAAGGCTTTACCTTTGACAGCGCAGCCAAGCAACTTCGTTGATGCACAGCTCAGCTCCATTGATTTTCCTCGTGACCTTGATGTTAAAAGCAAAGCAGCAATAATCGCTTGCAATTTCATCATTGTAAGTATGAAACTATATTGGTTTTAAAATTCTTCTTAGTCCCACATTCCTGGTGGAGGAGATTCGTGATTATGGTTCGTCTGGTTATTTTTTGCGGCTTTTGCGAGACATCTCCGTCTATCTCTATTTAGAGCACTACGTGTAGATTTAGTTTAATCTGTCCATCTTGAGGGTCGTCATGTATCTGGTTTAAAAACAAAATAAAATTTAATTTAGCAATAGTTCGCATAGTTCCTTTCTACTTTGCTCAATTCATAAACATTTGACAAAAATGCTAAGTTTAGCCTCATTATTGAAGCCAATTAAATTCCAATGTGGCCAATTTTCTTTGATGTAACTGATAACCAGTACAGCTCACATAACCTCGATCGTTTAATAAACAGGAGAGTTTTTTAATACGAGGAGTGTTTGGTTTCGGATAGTTCAATGATTAATGCAGTCACGCGGATTGCGAAAGGTTGTGAGTTCAATTCTCATATTAGATTTCTTGGAACTGGTGAATTTTTAAGAATTATTAATAAATATTATTAATAAGTACAAAACAAAATAATTCTTTTATTTCAGGTGAGTACCGACCATGCGATGATTCGCTCTCGTTTGCTGCAAAATGAGTTATTAATGGTAGCCACAGATAAAAATGTCACTGAATATTGATTTCTGAATAAATCCTTTGAAGTTTTATTTAACAGCGGGTTTTCTACTGAAAAAGCAAATCCTCGAGAAGAAGCTTCAAGCTAGAACATTAACATTACAACTAAGAACTCTTTTATTATTTTTACTAACACATTAATCGGATCCTTTAGCACGAAACATCATTGGATATGAACCGAATTGGAATTAAGCAAGAATTGTATTCTTGCTCTTTACACCCCTTTTTACTAACTTAGGAAAACGTATAACTTAACGCTTAATCTTGAGAAGAAATTTTTAAAGTAGGTAAATATAATATTTTTTAATATGTTAAATTACTTCACTAACACATAATTGCGAAGTAATTTCAATAAGGAAGTATTTAAAAATGAAAAAAAAAGCACTAAAAAATCTCCTCCACTAAATGGCGACTCTAGCAAAAGTTGATCTTTGCAGGAAACGAATGGACCAAAGATAGTCCGTAGTTCCGTTTCTTTTAACTAACATATTAAAAAACTGAAATTTGCAAAGTTTGTAACTTAGATATCAAATACAAAGAGTTGTTTATTGAGTTTTTAAAACTAATTTACTTTTAGACATGAAAGAAAACCGGAAGGGTTGTCATGGAGAAATCAAGAAAGCACTGTAGCGACATCAAGTTTGATTTCGGGAACTAATTTTTTTTTTTTAAATACTTTCTCATTCAAATTACACACGTGTCTCGCCATATGTTTAATTTAAATTGAAAATCTCTAAAAATGAAAAATGTCTACTAGCAACAAGTGAATGGCTGGAAAATACATTTATGTATTTATCTATCTATATCTTCACGCCGTATCCCATATTGAGTAGATAATATATATATTTAGTTTAAGAATACTGCTTGTACTGTTTTAAGAGCGATAATTTTACAATTTATTGTTAGTTTTATTGTTACATATACTATTGTAGTGATTTTTGTAATTATTACAGATCGTGGCACATAAGTTGAACTATGCGCAGTAGTACATTTTAGGGTCTAAATCTAATCTTTCAATGATTAGGGACCAACTGACTTACCATAAACCACTTGAATTAAGGGTTTTTCTATGTATCTATAAATAAAACTTCCGATCCATGGACCACTTGAGATACTTCCAGTGGTCTACGTAGCTGGTAACCATAGCAATGCAGTATAATCCATGACATGACGCGGAGAAATCGCCATTTTGGGTTCAATTTACGTGCCGGGCATCATATATGGTTTTTTAGGTAAAACATAGTTTTAGATATTGATAAAACTACTTTATTTAATAAATTCTATATTAAATCTGTTCTGTTCTATAAAAGAGATGGCTTTTTTAATTATTAACGCTGTTTAATAGAATGTAAACATTCTTGTTGCATTGACTCAACTACAAAAAGAACTGATCAAATGAGTGTCCGGTTCACTCACATAATAATATAAATTAAAAAAATACTGAAGTCTTTGTGTTATAATTTTTTTTTGTTATTACGCGATTTTTCTTACACTGTAAAAATTGCGTAATAAATATATATTTTTTTGCTGAATTTGTATACCTAATATGACGGTAAGGTAAAGTAGGTAGGTAATACAGACATACAAACTCTTTTGATATCAAAAAGAACGCGGCTTTTGACCTTTTGCTATCGGGACTTGGTTTATCAACGTATGTATAGTTTTAGACAGTAACGTTTGAAAGGTATTTTATGTTTTGGCAATGACTTTGTTTTATCTGTAAACATGCGCTTTATCTAGGTAATATGTCAGTAACTCGTGTTAAGTGAACTAAACATTGAGTGGTTATTTGCTAGGAGAACATTTCGTTAATTAATTACAATATCTACTTGTAATTAATGTAAATTAGAATTAGACAACACTAAAGTTAAGACACATCCCTAAAGACTCCCGTTTCCTGACCACCATTATTATGTCTGCTTGTAATTAATGTCAAAGTCAAAATAATCTTTAATTTACTTTAAATACTTTTTAATCGTCCAATATGTTTTTCCCTACCACTCGATCAGGACGTCTTTTGGCTGATAAGAAGAACGAGCAAGAAACTCGCCAGCTCTAATAGGAGTAATGACATTCACGAAAACCATGTCATTACCAGATTAAAACATTATAAATAGAGAAAAAAAACTATGATCTTATAATGATAACATAATAATTTTATAATAATGACAACAAGATAATTTTTGAGATATAATGAGTTTAGAAGAAATCACCTATCCAGTTGGTGGACCATCATAAGTCCAAGCATTTTTATATGTTATATAATCGGATACTTTATAATAAGCTTTTCCAATAAGTGTTTTTAAGAGTACATTTAAACTGCACGATATTTAACTGTTGTATTTTAGCCGACTTCAAAAAAAGAGGAGGTTCTCAATTCAACTGTATAATTTTTATTCTGTTTGTTACCCCATAACTTTTTACTGGGTGGACTGATTTTGATGATTCTTTCTTTATTTAAAAGCTAGTGCTATCCGTGTGCTCTGATCTGGCAATGGCATCTATAAGAAAACATATAGGTAAGTCTTAAATATGCATTAAGACGTGTAATGTTTGTTACCTCAAAACTCAAAATATCACTAAAATTCATGAAATAAAACCTTAAAAAATGAAACCGACCTCAAATTAAAAAAAAATGAAAAATAACACTTATCTTAAAAGCGGTAAATTTTTTAAGAAACATTCAAGTCGGGCGGGTAATATTTAATTTACCACAGGAAACCTGAGCCTGACTTCAATGTACTTAAATTATTCTAAAAGTCGCGACAGTCTACAATTGAATCAAAGAGGGAGAATGGGTCGAGCCATGCACATCATGCGGATCGGAATGTAGGTCTGTCGATGCAGCCATGTAATGGAAAGTCTTTATCGATACTAGTATTACAAAGATGAAAGACTTAATTATTTGTTTGCATCAAATAGATTTCGAAACTACAGCACCGATTTGAAAAAAAATAATCACCTACGGGAAGTTTCATTACATGCGGGTGACATTTGGATTTATTTCCAAAAACTATTTCATATTTTCACTTGAAATTTTAAATGCACTTTAATGAGCCATCTAGAGAATTCACGTGATTTCATAAGCTAAGTTCTAAGTTCAACCAAAGCATTGTGTGTGATTTGTCGCTTCGTATAAAATGATGATACATCCCTCCAATAGATGGCGTTATTTAAAAAAGTTTATGTATAGCTTTTGAATAACCTCGTAAAAGGGAGGTGAATAAAATTTTATTTGAATTAAGAAATGTCTGGGAATCTATGGATGTGTAATTAATCCATATGTGATTTGTTTTACTTATTACCGCCAATCTATAGGTACATATTAAGAGGAGAGTTTTGATTGTTTGTTGGTTCACACTGATTAGGCTTCTAGACCGATTTAAAAATGATTTCATCTATAGAAAGCTATACCTTTAGGTACGATAGTTATTTTTTTATGAGATATAAGGGCATAGGCATTGTCAAACTTCTCTTAACTGTTTGCACTCGGCAACTTTTTATTCAGCTTAAAATGAAAGTAGGCAACCTATTTTTTTCATTAGGGGAGATGAGGGGGTAACAAGTGCTTGAAAACTTCTTCAGTCCTGTTAGGTCGCTTAGTGGTTAGAGCAGTTGCCCGGATTGCGAAATCATGTCATGGGTTCGAGTCCCATCTCAGAGTGCCAGGGACAAAGTGGATTTTTAAGCATTTTTCACTAAAAATAAATAACTATTATTACACTAAAGAATAGAGTGTTAAAAAAAAATAAACATGGATATCGTCTGGTTTTCTTATTTTGTTTCTCCGCCCAATCCTCCTGATTCGTGTGGAAGACTTCGCTCACTAATTTAGTTATAGAATCATCACGTTAATTACGCCTCCTTTCACATTAATTCAATTTTGTTACCATTTCGCTAATTTACAATTACGACATCCAACGTTTGGATATTATTCTTATGGAAATGTTTCAAATTACGGACTTGTCATTTTGTATGCTTCGATTCGTTATTGGCATAGATTTTGAACGATGAGATTTTACTTAAAAGCATATGCTAAGATTCTTTTGGGTGCTCTTGGTTTATAGGTTATGAATTTAATAGCAATTCGAGCCAAAGGAAACAAATGAATTACAGAATTCTGACGATTCGACTCTTAATGGCAATTAATAACACTGATAAACAGTATTTTTGTTAAACAAAATCGAGTCGGTTTTTTAAACACTACTACCTACCCGCATATAGACCTCATACTTAGTTTTGTTCAATCACCCTCAGTTAAACATAAACTAAATTGATTACGCGAATTTTGCTTACCGACGTATGTTTCCGATAAATTAATATTGAATTATTGAAATTAAAACGGTTTTTTTTGTGATTGTCGTTTCTGTACATTGTAATAAGATGCCCAGAATGTGTGTAAACCATCCTGATAACTTTTGTTATATTTGCGGTCAACTTACTATTAAAAGTCAACGTCGTAATTTGACACCATTTGTTAAAAACTGTCATTTTAATTTTTTTGACTCTCCGGTGCGAAATTTGGACAAAACCTGGACTCCTAGTGTTTGTTGTGCATAATGTGTTAGTTTATTAACATCATGGGCTAAAGGATCTCGTCATATGCCGTTTGCAGTTCCAATGATATGGTCTGAACAGAAAGACCATGTATCAGATTGTTATTTCTGCCAAACTTCTATCAAAGGTATTAATCACAAATCTAGACACACCGTGAACTATCCGAATTTACAATCTGCTCAAAGACTTATCCCACACAGTGATGATCTGCCTGTTCCTCAGCCTCCAGTAAACACGGATGACGTGATTGATGAAGAAAATTTATCTGAGAATTCTGATTCCGATCCGACTTTTGAGCCCAGCACTTCAAATACGGCACCTCATTTTGTAAATCAAAACGATCTCAAATGACCTTGTACGTGATTTGGATCTCAGTAAAAGACAGGCAGAACTCTTGGCTTCCCGACTTCATGATTGGAATTTACTAGAAAAAAATACCAGAATATCCGTATACAGAAAACGACATACGCACTTCTCAAGTTTTTTTTCTCAAGATGGCAATTTAGTGTTTTGTAGTGACATTCCCTCAGTTATGGCCGAGCTGACGATTGAATATAAAACATCCGATTGGCGATTGTTTATAGATTCGTCAAAGGTTAGCTTGAAAGCTGTACTGTTACATAATGGTAATAAATACCCTTCTGTGCCGGTCGCTCATGCTACTGAAATGAAAGAATCATATGATAATATGAAGTCACTGCTTGAACATATTAAATATAATCAATCCTGGAAAATATGAGGAGATTTAAAAGTAATTGCTATTTTACTAGGTTTACAACTTGGATATACGAAATTTTGTTGTTTCATCTGTGAGTGGGATAGTCGAGATAAAAAAAAATCACTGTGTTAAAAAGGAGTGGCCTAAACGAGCCGCTCTTATACCAGGTCAACGAAATGCTCTTCACCCTCCGTTAATAAATTCTGAAGATGTATTGCTACCTCCATTGCACATCAAACTCGGACTTATAAAAAACTTTGTCAAAGCTATGGACAGAAATGGAGATGGTTTTTGTTATTTGAAACAGAAATTCCCAAAAATCAGCGATGCCAAAATAGAAGAGGGAATATTTGTAGGACCACACATTAGAGATCTACTGTCTGATAAAGAATTTGAACAAAAACTTAATCCGATTGAAAAATCTGCATGGACATGTTTTCGAAATATTATTTGTAATTTTCTTGGAAACCACAAGGCCGAAAACTATGAAGAGTTGGTCAACAACCTCTTATCAACTTACAAGAATATGGGATGCAGTATGTCGCTCAAGATACACTTCTTACACTCTCATTTGGATTTTTTTCCTCAAAATTTGGGAGCCGTTAGTGATGAACACGGCGAGCGATTCCATCAGGATATATCCAACATGGAAAAACGGCACCAAAGCAAGTGGAGTCCGAACATGTTGGCTGATTACTGTTGGACACTCAAAAGAGATATACCTGACGCTAAATATTCCCAAAAATCCTGAATAAAAGTCAAATATTAGTTGTTTTTCTTGATTAAATTCAATTTTCAACCATATTTACTTAAAAAAAGTGAATTGCAGTTGCTAGAAAACTGAGGGTGACTGAAACTTTTTAAAAAATCTGATTATTAACAGGCTAATTGTAGATACAAAATATCCCATTCAAATTAATTTAACTTTCATTAAGGTCATTTTTGTCAATCAGTGTAATTTCAATTCATCCTATACTGGCTCTTGCGAAAGGTAGTTAACAACCGTATCGCAGACCGAGCGCACTAACAA